ACACTGACTTTTTCACTGGAGTCTGAAAAAAGATATATATAACCTTGTGTATAACTATCTGACCGCTATTTCCATCATTCTGTTGATAAAGACACAATAAAATAGCCAAAAACCTGTCAAGAAATACCCCAAATCAGCGAGTAGGACGGTAAAGCATTCCTGACAGACCCCCTGAGCCCGGGCCCAGTGGAAGGAGATCCGTGAGTGGGTAAGAGGGTTCCGCATCACAGGGTATCAGTTCTCCCCAGTTTGTAAATTGAATGCAATTCCCGGAACAACATCCTCGTCTCTCCGCGGAGCTAGACAAGTTGATCATAAAATCCATTTCAAGGAGCGAATAAGCAAGAAAAGCCAAGGGTGGGGCAGCCCAAGAGGCACCAGGTGCGCCAGGAGCACCTGTCACCAGCAGCCTCCCTCCGGGAAGGGCACGCATTTTGACTGCAAATGGCAAAGCCTCACTGGTGTGACCGTGCACTGGTGACATGGTGGGGAAAGTGTCGCGCTTTGCTGGTGAGAAGGCACAGTGGCACCTCCCCCCAGGAGGGACAGGTGGCGATGCCCAGCTGAACGCCACATGCATTTACCCTTTCTCCACAAGACCCCACTAGAGGCGATCGGACCCACGGAAACTGGCAAAAACGTGAAGAGATGTCCGCAGCAGGCTTTGCGTTGCTGACTTCTCTATCCTATGTAATAAAAGGGCAATATGCTAATTAACTGGACATCATTCCAGACGTCCTTCCTGATGATGCCGGGCCAGAGGGAAGCCAGTCAGGGTCCCGGGTACCTGAGGGTGGCCCAAGGGAAGCCAGCCCAAGTTCCCGGTGCCTGCCGGTGGCTGGAGGAGGAAAGCAGCCCGGAACTCGGGTGCCCATAGCCGGGAGAAGGAAGGCCTACTCTTGCACGAATTTTCATGCATTGGGCCCCTAATAATATATACATAAAGCCTAAGAGACCCTCCAACCATTCAACCAGTAGCTATGATGTGCACTGACCACCAGGGGGCAGATGCTCAATGCACAGGCATGGAAACATGGAACAGACTGATGAATCTCAGAGGGAAGGGATGAGGGGGGAGGGTGGCAAGAGATTAACCAAAGAGCTTATGCATACTAGAGTCCTGGTGCATGGTTTCATGCACAGGTGGGGTCCCTCGCCTAGCCTACAGGGATTGGGCTGAGGGACCCCACCACACTGGTGCACGAATCCGTGTACTGGCCCTCTAGTATATACATAATTTATTTCAGAGAGGAAAAGAAAGGGAGAGAGAGATAGAAACACCAATGATGAGAGAGAATCATGGATCAGCTGCCTCCTGCACGCCCCACACTGGGGATCGAACCCCCAACCCGGACACGTGCCCTGATCAGCAATCAAACCCTGACCTCCTGGTTCATAGGTTGACACTCAACCACTGAGCCATGCCGGTGGGCTGAATTTTTTTAATTTAATTTTTATTTTTTGTCAATCCTCACTTGAGGATATCTTTTCCATTGAATTTTAGAGAGAGAGTGGAAGGGAGGAGGGAGGGAGGGACGGGGAGGAGGAGGAGGAGAGAGGTAGAGAGAAATCCATGTGAGAGAGATGAAGCACATGAATTGGTTGCCTCCCCCACGCACCCAGACCAGGGCCGAGGATTGAACCTGCAACCCAGATACGTGCCTTTGCCCTGGAATCGAACCTGTGACCCTTCAGTGCACGGGCTGACGCTCTAACCACTGAGTGGCCGGCCAGGACTGAATTCTCTTTAATAACAGAAGCCTAAAAACGCCAGGAGAAGGTGGAATAAATTATGGTAGCTCCACTGACGCACAGGTCAAAGGTGAAGAGAATGGAGCCTGCGGGGAGGTGGGAGTGATGAGTGGAATTTGCACGTGGGATGGACGAGGCAGCGGGAGGGCAGACGGTAGTGGGTTGGATGATGACCCTCTGTGTCCAGCTAGGATGTGTGAACGTGACCCTGTTTGGAAAACAGTCTTTGCAGAGGAAAAGGTCTTCAGATGAGATCGTCCTGGGTTAACTGGCGGCCCCACGTCCAATGACACGTGTTCTCCTAACAGATGGGAGAGCAAGAGCAGAGGTGGGGGCAGGTGAAGGTGGGAGCCGAGGTTGGAGTGATGGCTCTACAAGCCAGGAACCTCTAAAGACGGAGTGGGGCCCAGGCAGTGTGGCTCAGTGGTTAAGCATCAGCCTATGAACCAGGAGGTCACAGTTCAATTCCCAGTCAGGGCACAGGCCCGAGATGCAGGCTTGGTTCGCAGCAGGGGGTGTACAGGAGGCAGCTCATCCATGATGCTCTCTCATCATTGATGTTTCTCTCTCTCTCTCCCTCTTCCTCTCTGACATCAATACAAATATATGTATTTTTTTAAAAGACGGGGTGGGGACGCAACCCTGGCAGCTGGAGGAAGCAGGAAGGGCCCCCCTCAAGCCTCCGGGGGAGCACAGCTCTGCTGTTGCCTTGATTTTGGAGACTTTGGCTCTGGGACTGTTGAGAAGTTGCTGTCGCTTTAAGCCAAGCTTGTGGTACCTTGTTGCAGCGGCCAATGCAGCTTTGGCGGACTCAGAGCCACGCCTCTGACAAAGGCAGGGGAGGAGGTATGGTGATGTGCTGCCCTTTACCGGAGCGAGGGGAGCACATTCAAACACAGACGCGTACCGACTCTGTTTCCCCGAAAATAAGACAGTGTCTTATATTAATTTTTGCTCCCAAAAATGCGCTAGGTCTTCTTTTCAGGGATGTCTTGTTTTTCCATGAAGAAGAATACGGCACACATTTATTGTTAAATGAAAAGAAAGGAAATGTATTACCTGTATACGGTTCGGTAGTACGGTAGTGGTCAACACAAACCAGACAAACTGTGAATCCTACAGTCTCAAGAATTTACTCATTTATTCAATGACAATCATGTCATCATCCTCTGGAACATCATCATAACAATCCAATTCCTGAATTTCCTGTGACTCCATTTCTTTCAGAATCAGTGGACCAAATCTCTCATGTTTAGCCTAGGGGGGGCCTTATTTTCGGGGGGATGCCTTATATTTCACTCAGAAGGAAACCTGTAAGTAGGTCTTATTTTCGGAGGAATGTGTGTATGTGTGTTCACCTGCATTGTGTCCACTTCTGTGGACATGCATTCTATGTGCATATATACTTGTGTATCTGCTTACATTAAAAATAATGCTGGGCTGAAGCCGGTTTGGCTCAGTGGTAGAGCGTCGGTCTGCAGACTGAAAGGTCCCAGGTTCGATTCCTGTCAAGGGCATGTACCTTGGTTGCAGGCACATCCCCGGTAGGGGGTGTGCAGGAGGTAGCTGGTCGATGTTTCTCTCTCATCGACGTTTCTAGCTATCTCCCTCCCTTCCTCTCTGTAAAAAATCAATAAAATATATTTAAAAAAATAATAATGCTGGGAGCCTGGTTGGCATGGCTCAGGGGTTGAGCTTCAACCTAGGAACTAGGAGGTCAGGGTCTGAATCCGGTCAGGGCACAGGCCCGGGTTGTGGGCTCAGTCCCCAGTCAGGGGCGTGACTGAACAAGCCGGGGCCAAAACGTGAAGCACTTGGAGCACTGCCCGCTGCCAGCCTGGCAGCTCCTCCAACAGCCCGATGTCCAGTGGGACCGCGGGGCCGGCAGGCTGCTCTCAGACAGGAGAGATAATACCTGTCCAGAACTCAGACGTGAGCGATCCCAGCAGCAGCATTCCTAACAGCGCACAAGAGGTGCTGGGAGCTGGGGAAACAGTGCAGGCCAGCCCCTCAGAGCGCTATCATTTCACAACAAAGCGGCATGGGGTCTGCCACACGCAGCACGGGTGACCCTGGACAGCGTGGTGCCGAGTGAGAGAAGCCAGACGCACAAGGCCACACGGCGTGTGACCCCATTGATGTGAAAAGTCCAGGACAGGCACACTACAGGCAGTGGGCCGATCAGCCGCGGCCGGGGACGGGGGGAGAATTGGGGTGACTGCTAGTGGGTACAGAGTTCCTTTTGGGGATGATGAAAAAGTTCCAGAATTAACGGTGATATGTGCACAGCTCTGCGCATACTAAAAACGGCTGGATTATGTGCTTTAAGGGGTCAAATGTTTGGCAAGTGGATTCTCCTAGGATCTCAGACAAGCTGACACCAAGAAAACCAGGTCCAAGGTTGCCAGTGGGTGGGGGGAAAGGGGGTGCGAGAAATGGGTGAAGGGTTTACAAAATACACAAAGATTTAAAGTCCCAATAAACAGATCATATTTGGATTCCTTTTAGTTTTTTAAAAAAGGATCACCCTGACCAGTGTGGTAGTTGGTGGGTGGGCTCCGTCTTGTGCACGGAAGGGCTGCCAGTTCGATTCCCCGTCAGGGTGCATGCCCAGGTTGTGGGCTCAGTCCCCAGTGGGGGGCATGCAGGAGGCAGCCGATCCATGATTCTCTTTAGTCATTGATGTTTCGCCCTCTCCCCTCCTCTCTATAAAATCAATTTTAAAAAACTTTAAAAGGAGAATGACCTGTGAGAAAGACCACCGGGAAGATGAGCCCTGGGCAATGGCGTGGAGGATGGAGCTGATGTCATTCAGGGGAAGGAGAGGGGAGGCAGAGGGAGGGAGACGAAGCAAGAGCAGCCAGGACCGATCTGTGTGGCAGGAGGGATGGATGTGTGTGTGTCTTTCACCATTTGTATGCCTCTATTTGTATGTTGAGAACATCTTTATATAGTTAAGTGTCCGTAATTACAGTCTTTAAAGAAAAAACTCGCACAGTTCCGCTTTGTTCTTAAGGCAGATTAGTTTAATTTTTATAGAAGAAATACTTCCAAGCAATACAAATGACACAATTAGAACAGAGATGACTACTGATTAGAACTTAGTCCCACAACAGGAGGTGACAGTTTCATGATCAGATCAGCTGAAGATTGAGTTCCCTTTGCCCGGGTCTGGATCGGACTGCCGCACGCGGCCCAGTGCTGTGTTCGGGGCGCGCAGACAGGTGCACAGACGATGCAGACACCCCTTAAGACGATAGGATTTCGCTCTCTGATGCGGAAGGGGGTGGGGGGGGTGGCATCGAACGAAGCGTCCCTGAATGAATGGAGTCCGCCTGCCTGGCCCCGCTGGGCTGCGGCTGGCTGTGCCCTCTGGGGCCAGGGCAGGGGGGGCTGGGAGGCCCCGGGTGCTCCTCAGACAGACACCAGTGGGCCTGCGCTTGCTGCTGGGGCTCCTGTGAAGCCCTGGGGTGGGAAGGCACCCCGAGTGCCAATCTGTGGGCGCTGGGCGGTGAGGTTTGAGAGCTGTAGGCGGGCAGCGGGCTCTCCGGGCGGGGTGGGGGAGGGCAGCAGAAAAGTGGCCTCAACGCACAGGCCCGCGGGGAGCCACGGCCAGGGGGCTCCCCGAAGTGAGGGAGCCGGGCACCCCGAGGCGGCAGTGGCCTGTCCCGCACCCCAAGGCCGGGGCAGACAGTGGTTGGTGAGAGTTTCAGCAGCGCAGGGAGGGGCCATGTCTCTCCGTTGTGGGCAAGGACACAGAAATCAGCCAAAATACAAAAGGCAACAAAAACCAGCGGGAGCCGAGGCACAGATACATAGCGAGAGAGAAGGAGAGTGCAAAGCATAAAGCTTCAGTCTTACCACCACTGACAACTTCCGTTGCCCGTGACAGGTCGCGTGTCGATGAAATGCTTTTACAAAATTCACTTTTAATAAATGCAAAAGGGGAGGGGGCTCTACAAGGGGCGATTACAGACTAACGAGAAGGGACGTGGGTTAAAGGGGGCACTTCGGGGCGGGGGGAGGGGGGGAGGGCAGGCAATCCAGGCAGAGATAGTTCCGCTTTCTTCTCTAAATCCGTGTGACCACCTCGCTCACTTCTCTGAGGCTCAGAAGGGAGAGTGCATTCCGTATACAATAAATATGCATCAGGCAAAATATTATAACATTTGGCATTTCAAAAGGATAATGGGATTCTTCTTACATAAAACATTTTCCCGTGAACTACTTCTAAGATTGCTTAAGAAATATTGGGGAGATTCCAGTACTGGGGGGAAGGATTCTGATCTCCATCAAATATCTCACATCCTCTCCTGCGAACGACACTGGGTGACAGCAGTCACCGCAGGCGCATGCGCTTCCTTCCCCAGATAAGCACACTTCTTAGGCCTCTCACTTTCCTTCATGGCAGAGCAGTAGAACGGGAGCCCCACACCGCCTTCCTGGTGGTCAAGGTCAGGGTCGGATGGGGTGCACCAGAGGGGCGGGCTGCCCGGGGTGGCGCAGGGCAGTGTGGGCAGCCGCTGGGGACAGGCAGGCCCCAGCCAGGGCCACTGCCAAAGCTTCAAACTCGGGGGGGAGCACAGAACCAACCGTGCGCTGACACAACACAGAAACAGGGGCTCTGCGGCTGAGCCCCAGGTGGGGTCTCAACGGGACACATGAGTGTGACAGTGGACAATATACACAATCAAGGCACACAGAGGGGCTGGTAGAGTGACGAGTTAGCACAGAGTGTTTGCATGTCCGTGTCAGAAACAAACCCGGCCCCAAGTTCCATTCTACTGCGTGACAAATACTGCAGAGCACAGTTTCAGCCTGAAAATACATCTTAAAGTCAGGATTTTCCTTCAAGGAAAAAAAAAGTACTATAAATAAGTTACAATACAGTGAATTTGCCTGAACTCACTTCGTTTCTGTCTTCCAGCCTTTAAATCAAATAAAACAGTGTAAAAACTGTACACTCTTAACATGATAGTGGATCTCTTATAAAATAACTTGTCTTCAGAGATGTCAGTTTCACAACAAGGAAAAACCAAGCCCTGTTGCCGTCGCTATTATAAAATATATATGTATAGATATATGTGTGTGTTTTTTTACAAAATGTGTATATTAATAGCTTTGCACAAATATTTTAAAGACAACTTCAGCTAGTCTAAGAACTTCATGAAAATAAAACAGGAAGATAAATACTTGGTGTGTACAAAGCACGACATCAAACATCATCGGCGGGCAGAGGAGGTATGTTAATCCTTGGTCTGGTAAAAAACGCTATCTTCTCCCTGCGGCGAGAAAGGTTCCAGGTTAGACGCTCATATAAATGCAAGCAGACCTGCCAGGAGGCTCGCAATACCAGTGAGAGCTTCTTTTATTCACAGAACAAACTGAATTGAAAACCCAACAACAAGTCTGTTTGTACATAGTCTCTACTTAAAGAAAAAATTATTGATTTTATTTTGAGAAAGAGAGGAAAGGAGAGGGAGACAGACACATTTATGATGAGAGAGAATCGTGGATCAGCTGCCTCCTGCACGCCCCCTACTGGGGATCAAGCACACACCCCGGGCATGCGCCCTTATCGGTAACTGAACCGGTGATATCTGGGTTCAGGGGTTGATGCTCAACACTGAGCCACGCCAGCCGGGCTAGAGTCTCTAAATTTTAATAGAAGTTGCAAAGGACTATGAGAGCAAGGGTTTGTCTCTAGTGCCTAGAACAGCGCCTGCTACATATATATATGTAAATCACTGTGTTAATAATAGCAAACATTTAGAAACAGGTTATAAATGGGGTATTCAGGCAAATTATACCTATGAGGTGAGTTACTATAGCCAACAAAGGGAATGGATTGCATGGCAACATGGGGTATTTTCATTTAAACAAAGCTAAATGCAAAATGGAATCATGCCTGGCAGGTGTGGCTCAGTGGTTGAGCGTTGACCTATGAACCAGGAGGTCACGGTTTGATTCCTGGTCAGGGCACAGGCCTGGGTTGCAGGCTCAATCCCCAGTGTGGGGCGTGCAGGAGGCAGCCCATCAGTGATTCTCTCTCATCATTGATGCTTTTCTCTCTTTCTCCCTCTCCCTTCCTCTCTGAAATCAATAAAAATGCATTTTTTTTAATAAAAAGAATAAGAGCCCTCGCCGGTTTGGTTCAGTGGATAGAGTGTCGGCCTGTAGACTGAAGGGTCCCGGGTTCGATTCCAGTCAAGGGCACATGTCCAGATTGTGGGCTTGATCCCCAGTAGGGGGAGAGAAGGAGGCAGCCAATCACTGATTCTCTCTCATCACTGATGTTTCTCTCTCTCTCTCTCTCTCTCTCTCTCTCTCTCTCTCTCTCTCCCCTCTTCCTTCCTCTATGAAATCAATAAAAACATAGTTTTAAAAAAGAATAAGAAATTTTTAAAAAATTGAACCCACATTATTACTATAAGTAGCATGAAAAAAAAAAAAGTGTCTAGAATAGAAATAGCAGAAGAAAACCTGAAAATGCTAACAGCACGGGGAACCCTGTCTTAGGGGGTTTCGGGACTTCCGTCAGCTGATGACGACAGAGGCCGGACAGCGGAAGTGGCTGTGCCCCTACCTGAAGGTCTGCACCTGCACGGGCTCCTTGTGGTTCTGCCCCCGCAGCTGGCAGACCTCTTTGGAGGCCTTCTTCAGCATCTTCTCAGCTGCCTGTTCTTGGTGGAAGTCAAGCTTGGTCTGTCTGGTCTGGAGCGGCGACATTGGATGCACAAGAGATTTATTTCCCGTGTTAAGGAAGAATGAATGGAGCCACTTCCAGCTCTGGGGGTGCAGAGAGGAGAAAGGCCCACCGCCCCCGCTCCCCCCAGGGAACCTTCAGGCCAGCTCCTCAGGGACGTGGGACCCAGAACACCCCATGGACAGAGGCTCAGCTGCCAGGAGACAGCGTGGCCGGCTGCCTGAGGGTTTGGCCCCGCGCTCACCTGCCGCTCCGCCTCCTTCAGCAGGCTCCGGAACCGCTCGTCCCGCAGCACCCAGTGCGGGAGGTCAGTCTGGCCCCGGAGCTGGGCATCCTCCAGGCGCTGCCTCAGCTCGCGGAGGGTGCAGATCTCCTCGTTCAGCTGCCTCTGCCGAGTCTTGGACGCCTGGAGGTCCAGCTCCAGGTCCAGGGACGTGCGGGCCATGAGCTCGGCCAGGGAGGACCTGCAGGCCTGCGGGAGACACGGCCGTGAGCACACACTCGGACCAGGCCACGCGGGCGCCATGCGGCCAGTGCACTCGGGCCTTCTAGAAGGTTCTTCCCCCAAGACAGGAGACAATGGGGTGGAGTTATCAGAGAGGTATCTGTCTTTGCATGGCCCAGTGTTACAAAACCAAACACAACATAGATTTGGGAGAGATTAATTTAAATCTTGGTTCAATATCCAGTTAGTGGCAGCCAATTTTTTTCTGTAATGATGATGGATGGATGTGCAGAAACAGACCCTCCCTATAAGGCTGGCGGGATCAAAAATGGGCATAAACATACTAAAGTGCTATTTCACAGTATATGTCAAAAATCAAGACGTGCATTTTCTTTCGTTCTGAAATTTCATTTTCACTTGCATTTGAAAGGTACGACTGATGATGTGTAAAAGTGATCCAACTAAGGTTCAGGACAAAACAACACTAAATATATATAACGTGAGGAAACTTATTAAATTACAAGGTCAGCAGAGAATGCAGCCATTGAAGAAAGTTAAAACACTATTGACATGGAACGTTAACCATGCACTGCATACGGGAGAAGCATGTCATAAACCATCCAAGTGCGTTTGTTTAAAATCCCAGAGCCCAGCTGGTGTTGCTCAGTGGTTGAGCATTGACCTATGAACTGGTTCGATTCCCGGTCAGGGCACAGGCCCGGGTTGCAGGCTGATCCCCAGTGAGGGGCGTGCAGGAGGCAGCCGATCCATGATTCTCTCTCCTCATTGATGTTTCTGTCTCCTTCTCCCTCTCCCTTCCTCTCTGAAGTCCATAAAAATATATTTTTTTAAAATGTAAGGAACATGAATTACCTTACATCTTAGGTCATGATATTATCTTGGGAAATTAAGAAACATGGGTAACCTTTTGACATCATCACGCTTTTAAACCTTTTACCTAAGTCAACAAGGAAATAAAGAAGTGACCTCTTAATGAAGATGACTGACAGGCTGCTTCTCGGAAGGCCTGTGAGAAGGACCCTGGGAAGTGGGGGTTCCATGTTAGCTGGCGTGCACACACCTGCTTGTAGCGGAGGGTCCGTCTCTCCAGAGTGTTGCGGACGAAGGGGGACTTCCGGGGCAGCGTGGAGCTGTCGCTGTCACTGCGATAAAGCTACAGAAACAAGGTGGCTCAGAGAGGCTCCCTCTGCAGGTCCGCAGCCCTCCCTTGGCCTGACCTGCACTGCTGCCTTCCTCCTCGCAGCACCAAACGCATGGCACTGTCTAGCTTCACCAAGACTCCGGTCTCAGTAAAAACAAAACCCACACAAGACGTTTCAAGTAAAACGAAAGACAAAAACCCCACAGAAAACCAGTGAGCAAACCGCCCCCACCTCTGCCCAGCCCTCCCTTGCGGCCATCAACTGCACCTCCTGAACTTCCCTCTCCCCCCCTCACCCCCCCCCCGAGTCAGCACACTGTCCCACCAGCAGCGGGGGCCTGGGGATGAGGTGTGGGGCCAGGCCAGCCAGCACTGTGCCCCACACTTTCCACTCCTCTCACTGTCATCGGCCCCGCTGCTGGTTCGGGCCGGATCTGGGGAAAGAGGCTTGCAGATCATTCCTGGGGGCCAGGGGGCTTCCCTCGGGGCCCCAGCCCCATAGGCCGCCTCCAAACTGAAAAGGAGGAACGCCTCCTTTAGGGCGTTTCATCTGGCGGCAGGTTCTCTCGGGGTCAGTGTGCGACTGTGAAAGCGGGGTCCTTGCCTTCCGGCCTGTCCACTCCCATCAACGCCACATCCTCAGGCAGCGTGTGCCATGTCTCCCACCACAGGACACATGTATGAGGACAGAGCCTCTGAAAGCACGGGGGGGGAGGGGGGTAAACGTGTGCCCCCAAGCATGGCGCGGAGCAGGCAGGAGCCAAAAGGGGCCCCACCCCGGGGGTAAAGGGTCTCCTGCTCCATCACCTCCCGATGAGCAGGCTGGCATCTGCCCCCCAGTGTCTGCAAGAGCCTAGACCCATGGTCGGCAAACTGCGGCTCACGAGCCACATGTGGCTCTTTGGCCTCTTGAGTGTGGCTCTTCCACAAAATACCACGGCCTGGGCGAGTCTGTGTTGAAGAGGTGGTGTTAGAAGAAGTTTAAAAAATGTGGCTCTCCAAAGAAATGTCAATCGTTGTCCTGTTGGTGTTTGGCTCTGATGGCGAATGAGCTTGTGGACCACTGCCTTAGAGCAAGGGTGGGGAACCCTTACCCCCTCAGAGGGCTGTGGGGCATTTATAACATCACTCGGGAGCTCTACAACATCTCCCACTTAAACATGAGCCTGCTCTGTTTGGCCAGACATTTGGTAATCACCGCTAAGGCCTTGACAGGGCCTCACACAGCCCAAGGGCCTGACGTTCCCCACCCCTGGCTTAGACTGCAGCAGTGAGTTAGCCTGCCTCTGACCACGCACGGGCGCATACGCAGCCCCAGAGGCTGGTGGGAAATGTATTAGGATCCAGAAGAAATGCATTAAATGCGCACGGGGAAATGAAACCAGCAAGGATAAGCATGCTGTGCACTCCTGGTATTAGCTGTGAGAACACTTATGTCGTCTAGCATAAAAAGTAAAAATGAAAACACACCCGGGAGGGGGATGAGGAGGGGGAGAAAACTGTTTGGCGGCAAAGGAACTCGTACTTACTCTGCACACGTACTGGCTGCGCGCCCCGGGCGAGAAGGTCTGGGAGCGGACGATCGTGCCGCTGCGGACGAACGGCGAGGCGCGGGCCCTACGGCCGGGCCGCTCCTTTGGCAGACTCACCAGCTCTTCCCGGAACAGGTCTTCCGTGTTGGTTTCCTTGTCCACCTAGACAGCAAAGTGCTTATTACAGGATGTTTCTAGAACACGGCAGTGACCTTTGCAGGCACAGCCACGGCCTTGCCTTCTCTGCTTGGAGCTCTCCCACTTCGCACATCCAACCCGGGATGTCTGCCATCTGCCAGCCCCTCCTCCGCTGACAAGGATCCCTATTTGCCCGTTTTCATGCAAAAAGAGTATCTGCGTCACCCAGCCCGTGTGACTCAGGGGTTGAACATTGACCTCTGAACCAAAAGGTCATGGTTCTATTCCTGGTCAGGGCACATGCCCGGGTTGCAGGCTTGATCCCCAGTGTGGGGCGTGCAGGAGATGGCCAATCAATGGTTCTCTCTCATCAATGATGTTTCTATTTCTCTCTCTCTCTTCCTTCCTCTCTGGAATCAATCTATATATATAAAAGTCTAAGCAACCGTTCAACCGTTCGACTGGTAGCTATAACACACACTGACCACCGGGGGCAGACACTCAATACACAGGCATGGAAAAGTGGGACAGACTGATGAATCTCAGAGGGAAGGAGGGACAGGGGAGGGCGGAAAGAGATTAACAAAAACCTTACATGCACACTAAGAGGCCCAATGCACGTGCACCAGTGGGGTCCCTCAGCCTGGCCTGAGGGGAAACTGGCACTCTGACATCCCCCGAGGGGTCCCGGATTGTGAGAGGGCACAGGCCAGGCCAAGGGACCCTACTGGCACATGACTCTGTGTACTGGGCCTCTAGTAAAAACCTAATAAAACATTTAAAATTTTTAGCAAGTCTCTGTCCTCCTGGGCCCTGCTCTCTCCCACACCCCGTATCGGATCCAGGATGAAATCCTCTTGGCTCCATATTCAGGATTACGCATGTTCTGACCACCTGTCACCAACCCTCCATCTGGGGCTCCATGGTCTTGCACCGATTAGTGCGGTAGGCGTCTCACCCACCTCCCCGATTCCATCACCCGCCCCCCTTGATCTCCTCTCAACACCCAGGGGGTCCCGCTGAAACTGAAGCCAGACGCAGCCAGCCCTCTCCTAAGACTGTACCCGAGAGACCTGAACACAGGAGAGACCTGAACACAGGAGTTCGCCGCTGAGAAAGCAGAGGGCGGCTGAGCTGCCCCAACCTGCTCGGTAACCAAGGGAACACGGCGCATTCCTGAGCCAGGCCTTCCGTGGCGCTGGTCACGTCCACTCCCTCACAGCCCCAATTACAGAGATAAATGGTGGTGGAAGGAGGCCCCGTGCTCTACCTCCTGATAAAGGATGCAGAATAATTGCTTCCAGACCCATTCCCATGACTCCCTGACGCCCTGAGTCCACACACGTGATGCCCCTCCCTTATCTGTGCATTCCCTCCCCAGCACTGTTCCCTGGACGTATGGAACTCCTGAAGCTGCTGACGTCGCCGTCTCTCTGCGTCCTCCGACCTATAAAAGCCCCCACTCGCTCGCCTACAGCCGGCACAGGTTCCCGGTTCCTTGGGCTCTGCTCCCGGCCACGTCCTCCGTTGGACTCACATAAAGAAGGCTCTTCTGAAACCTACAAAGGTCCACGTCTTCTTTCCACTGACCAAACACGTGCTTGTGCATGAACCCTGAAGGCACGGGCTGCGGGAGAACAGCCAGACCCAATGGACACATGTCGTCTGATTCCATTTACCGAACCGCCCGGAACTGGCAGACCCACAGAGACGGGAAGCTCACTGGTGTTGCCAGGGCTGGGGGAGGGAGTGGGGAGTGACGCCCAGGGGTATGGAGTCTATTTGAGGTGACAAGTGTGTTGGAAGCAGACAGATGGCGGCCGCACAACGCTGTGCACATACTCAATGCCGGTTAGCTGTTCGTCTCATCTTATGTGAATTTCATGTCAAGAAATGACTTTAGAAAAAAGTCAACAAGAAACCTGAAGTCAGATCATGTGCCTGGGCTCAAACCATCCATCAGCCTCCCCTCTCAGGAAAAAAAGGGAATGTGCTGAGTGGGCCCCTATGACCTGTTCCCTCACTTCCTGTCCTCAGCTCAGGTCCCCCCTTCAACCCCCCCTCCCACCCGGCCAGGCCGGCGCCTGCACTTCCTCTACCCGACACCCTTCCCCAACCCTACGCGAGGCTGCGGCCTCCGGTAAGGCCTCCGCTCAAAGACCGCCTCCTCCCCCACGGCCTTCCTTTCTCCTTCATCGGAAGAAACCATACCATTTCTCCGTGTACAGTACAGCAGTGTCAGATACACGGAGCGGCCAGATGATTACGATCTCTGAACGCATAATAATCTGGCCACTCCGTGTCTAGCCTATAGGATAAAAGGCTCATATGCAAATGGTCCCCTCGACCAGGAGTTCCACCAGCAGGCAGGCCAACCGCCCAGGTCCCCTCCCCCTGGCCAGGCTGGCTGGACCCACCCGAATTCATGCACCGGGCCTCTCATACACACACACACACACACACACACACACACGCACGCACGCTTGCTCTCTCTCTCTCTCTCTCTCTCTCTCTCTCTCTCTGAGTGGCCGGATTTTCATGCGTTCAGAGATCATCATGAGCTGGCCGCTCAGTGTATATTCCCATTACTGTAAGGTGACCAGACGTCCCGCTTTGGGCGGGACAGTCCCGATTTTTAACAATCTGTCCCGCATCCCGCGGCATTTTAAAAAAGTCCCGACGCGGCACAAATTGTTAAAAATCAGGACTGTCCTGCCAAAAGCGGGACGTCTGGTCACCTTACATTACCGTGAAACTGATCTCTAGAACTTTCCATCGTCCCAAACAGAAATGCTGTCCCCACTGAACACCAAGTCCCCACTCCCCTGCCCTAACTATCGACCCTAACCCAGTAGCACGTTCCCCACAGTCAGGGTCACTATGGTTGTCTGTCCGTCAGTCGCATCTGTCATTCTTCTGTGTCTGAGCCTGTCAGCTGCCGCTGCCTTGGCCCTCTCCCCACCCATTCCCTCTGCTTCACCCGCTGCCCGCTGTGTGCAAAGCCTCTGGGTGTTCCCTTCTGCTTACCTTCAGAGGCGGGGGCTGGCGCCTCTCGGGGTGGTAAGGCTCTGCCTGGCCCGCGCTCGGGTGTCCGTGGATGGAGTCCACGCCGCTGCAGCAGGGCTCCGGGTGCGGGGGGCTGGTCTGGGTGTAGCTGCTGCAGCCACTGTCCACCGAGTCGGCCTGCCAGCTCCTAGAGGCGGACATGGGGACATGGCAAAAGCCCGCGGGCCGCTCACCCAGGGCGGGCTCTGCCGCCTCAGGGCGCAGGAGCTGAGGGCGCAGGACTGGCTTCTAACCATGGCAGCGGTTTCCTTATAAAAGAGCACTGGGTCCTTCCGGGGAGACAATGCCACAGGCCTTCCGTGCAGAGGCTCTGTCTGCCTTTATCACCAAAGCACCCCGGGAACATGCCAGAACCCCGGAGCCCCTCCCAGGCCCTCCCCGCTTCCCGCCTGGCCCCAAACAGGGCGCTCCCCTCAGCCACCCAGCACCCTCCGTAAAAGCAGTTCCTCTCAACAGATCCAGGGAGAGCTGCCGGAAGAAGCGGGAGGCCCTGGAAATAGGGTGCTCTGGATGGGGAGCCCTGGGAGGGGAGCCCGGGGAAGGATGGGACAGAAGCCAGGTCACTGGAGCTGCTGGGCATCCGGGTGGCTCCTCTGAGCCGGCGCTGTACCGTGCCCAGGGCTGGCGGCGGGCACAGCGGAGCGCCAGCACGAGGTCCCGCTGGGATGAAATGCCCAGAGAGCGCATCAGAGGCTGCGGGGGCTGGGGAAGGAGGGCTGTGACTGCTAATGGGCGCGGGGTTTCTTTCTGTCCCTATGCAAACTGATTGTGGCGATGGTGGCTGTCCTCAAAGCCACCGAATGTCCGATTGTCCGCTTTAAACGGCTGGATGGGACGGGAGGTAGATTCTATCTCAATACAGCTGTTAAAAGCCTTGAAGGGACCGGATTGTATCGCTGCCGGCAGAGCAGTCATTCAACAGGCTCCTCCCTGCCGCTTCCCCGGAGCTCACCGCTCAGACCGGGCCTCGGTCTGCTCCTCCTTCCGCTCCATCTCCTCCGAGTACTCCAGCTTCACCCGCTCCTCCGCCAGCTCCCTCTCCACCGCCTGCAGCTGGGCCGTGGTTCTGGCCAGCAGCACCGTCACCGCGTCCTGGGGAGGGTGGGGGGGAGAGGGGCAGGGGCATGTCTGAGAGCCAGCTCAGCCCCACAGTGAGGCTCTTACCCCCGGCTGGTGGCCACCCTCAGCTGCTCCCCCTGGCCACAAGTCCACCCGGTGTTGGCAGCAGGCTTCCGTAGCTGAAGGCTCACGTTTAAAAACTACCCACGTGCCATTCACCACCATGAGCATGTTCGTGTTAAAAAACACCATCCTGCCCGGCCAGCGTGGCTCAGGGGTTGAGCATCAATCCATGAACCAGAAGTTCACGGGTTCGATTCTCAGTCAGGTCACAGGCCCAGGTTGCAAGCTCAACCCCGGGGCGCGGGGCCAGGGGGGGGGGGCGCGTGCAGGAGGCAGCCGATCCATGATTCTCTTTCATCATTGGTGTTCCACTCTCTCTCTCCCCCTTTCCTCCTCTCTCTAAAAATCAATTAAAAAGACACTGTCACGAGTAGCTATGCACATGACAGTGCAGCTTCCATTTCCATGACTTCCCTGGAAGCTGCAGCTTCTGAGGCCCTCCCCAGGAACACCCGTCTCCAGCCGGGCACCGGAGCGGCTGCCCACAGCAAGGCACACGCACCGTCTTCCCGGCGGCGGCCGCCGCAGCAGTGGCGGCAGCGGCGGCAGCGGCGGCGGTGGGCACCGGCTCCCGGGCCCCGCTCTTGTCGGCCCGCTGGCTCTCCTTGGGCCGGGGCGGCTCGGGGCTGGTGAACACCTGCACGGTGTACCAGCGCAGCTGCATCTCACTCGGGCCGCTGCAGCTGGCCAGGTTAATCTGAGCGATGCCCTGCGCCGTGCGAGAAACAGAACAGGCAGTGAGTGATCTCAACTAAGACGCCAACACGAATCTTCTAGCACATCCAGGTCACCCCAATCCTGACCAGAGAGGAGGTAAAATGGTTCACTCCATTCAGAGGGCTGCAACCAATGAAAAGGGTTAGACTCAGAGGACCCTAATGGGGACAGGGACGGCTCCTCCATTGCTTGTTCAGCCCAATCAGAAAGCACCGGAAGCCTGGCTGGTGTGGCTCAGTGGTTGAGCATCAACCCAGGAACCAGGAGTTCATGGTTCCAGGACACATGCCCGGGTTGTGGGCTTGATCCCCAGTAGGGGGCGTACAGGAGGCAGCTGAGCCATGATTCTCTCTCATCATTGATGTTTCTCTCTTTTTTCCTTCCTCTCGGAAATCAATAGATTTTTTTTAAGAAAGCTAGAAGGGGAACAGGAGCTGAGAATGGCCGTCCTGGAGTGCTGGGTCGGGCTCAGGGTCAGCTGCTTGTGAATCAGCTGATGACCTCAGGGATCCCAGAAACCAGAGAGGCCCGGCTGACCTCGACAACCACTCATTCTGCCGCCTCGGGGCCAGGGACAAAGGGCGATATCCCGGCCATGGGCAGAGCACTCTGGCCGCAGGCCCTGAGCAGCAGTGGTGGCCGGGCCTGACGGCAGACTGCCAGTAAAATATAGGGCATCCAGGTGAACTGGAATTCCAAACAAGCACCATTTTTTTAAAAAACATCAGTATGTCCCAAATCCTATACAGAACACACCTGGACTTCAGGGGCATCTAGAGCTGATTTGAAATCCAAAATTAACCGCCCTTCCCATGTCCTTATTTGCCAGCCCTACTTAGCTCCCTCCACGGAAAATGGGGATAACGGAAAAGCTGTCAGACAGCTCTGCAGGTGTTACTTGAGAGGCTGTGTTTAGAGTACAAACCATGTGACAGCACGGCTGGTCTGCCGTCCCTTTCTGTCCTCCCAGTTACAGAGACCCTTAACAGGACAATTTCTAAGCAACCCATCATGGGAAACCAGGAGGAGGAGACAGAGAGGAAAGGAGGGAGGGAGAGAGGGGAAGGAATGAAGGGAGGGAGAGAGCGTGGCAAAGACAAAGAAAGCAGAGAGAGAGAAAAGCAGAGACAAAGAAAGGAAGGTAGACAAAGACTAAGGAAGGAAGAGAGGGAGTAACAAAGGACGAGGGATGAAGGAAGAATGGCAGACAAAGGAAGAAAGCACGATGGAAAAACAAAGGAAGGAAGGAGGGAGGCAGGGAAGGGAGAAGACAGGATGGGGGGGCAGGGGCGCTTGCACATGCGCAGGCCATACCAGCAGTTCTTCCTGCAGCTGCGGGTTCACTGAACACACATATAACTGAAGGGACTTCAGCGTCAGCATGCTTGAGTGCACGGGGATTCTGAACACGTCATTGAATACCAGGGGTGCCTGGAAGTCCACAGCCTTGGAGCAGTAAGTGTCTGGGGTGCCGGAGTCCAGCGACGGCAGGTAGACACGGACGTGTCTGGAAGCAGGAGAGAGAAACACCGAGTCAGGCTACTGAGGGCCCCACGATTCACGCAGACACGTGGGTGGAAATGCCAGGTGTTCCAGACAAAGTCCTTCTCTCAGCTCAGAGGAAGCCCGGGGAACTTACATGCCTGGGAGGTTAGGGAAAAGCCACACACAAAGAGAAAGACTTTAGCTGGGCCCGTGTGGCTCAGTGGTTGAGCGTCGACCAAGGAACCAGGAGGTCACGGTTGGATTCCCGGTCAGGGCAAAGGCCCGGGCTTCGGGTTCGATCCCCTGTAGGGGACGTGCAGGAGGCAGCCGATCCATGATTCTCTCTCATCATTGATGCTTCTCTCTGTCTCTCTCTCTCTCTTCCTCCCTCCCTCCCTCTCTGAAATCAATAAAATTATATTTTTTTAAAAGAGAGAAAGACTTCCAAGCCAGTAGCCAGGACTTGAGAAGAGTCAGTGGAGGCTCCGCCCACCTGGCCTGGGAGGGGGGGGTCCTGCTGTGTCCCCCCAGCACGGCACTCAGCCCACAGGAAGGCTCAAACACTGGTGACCATGCCAATTCCCAGGGCGCCCTCAGCCACCACCATGGGGCACCTCATCAGCTCAGAGCCGAGTGTGGCTTCGTCACCACCAGCCCAGGGCCCCCGATGGGCGTTTCAGGCCCAGACGCGGCCAACGAGGGGCTCTGGGCCCTTGGTTAGTGTCGCTACGGCACAGCTAGCCCAGCGCCGTGACCTCCATCCGCCTCGGCCAGCAAAGCAGACCGTTTCCAGAACGGCCAGCGGCTTTTCCGGACAGCCCCGCTTCCCCTGCGGCCGGCCCTTACATCTTGCAGTCCTCCTTCACGGCCAGCCCCGCCAGGTTCCTCAGCTGCAGCACCTTCACCAGGAGGCACTCGCTGCCGCTGTCGTGCCTGGAAAGTAACAGCCGTTCCTGAGCCACACGTCCCCCCGGTGCACGAACGCCCCTGAGTGACCCCAGCGGCGGCCCCAAGGGAGGGCAATCCTGCTGTCCCCACCTGGGGGGGACATGTGCAATGGCTACAGATAGTTCCCCTGCCCTGGCTGGGGGGCAGCCCCAGCATCCACAGCGCCCAGCACGGCCCCAGAACGAAGGACCCGGTCCCGGTGTCACCGGGGCCAGCGCTGAGAAACACCCAACTGCAATGACAAGAGCGAGCACAGGGAGCCTGGGGCCTGCACCTCGCCTTGCCAGCCTGAGTGCTACTGAAACCAACTGGAAGCCAAAAGCCACGTCTGCAAACCAGCTGGGCCCTCGCTCTGGGGAGCAGGGCAGGCCTGCTGTCCGCCACGCTCCCAAGAGCCCACCTTACTGGGGGCTCCCGGCGCCCCTGCGTGACGCCCCCCGAGCCCCGCTGCAGAGGGTGCCACCCCAGCTGTGCCTCCCACTGCTGCTCTTCCCCGTATCTTCCCGCCCTGTGACCCTCACCGGGACCGGCAGCAGCTCAGGGTATCCAGGCGATGAGCAGCCCCTGGTGGGAGCGCGAGGGTCCCCCCATCCTCCTGGCCTGAGCGTGGGGGTGAGCGGCCTGGCGACCCCCATCTCTGGTGCCGGGACGGAGCCGCTGTACTCACCAGTACCCCACGTGGATCTGAGGCCCTTCCACGGCGCGCGTGTCCCCCTGGGCCGCCTCCTCGGACTCTTCGGTCCTGAGCACAAGCGGAGGCACAAGTTACCGCCCATGCACTGCCGAGTGCAGCAGGTGCGAGCCCGCTGGCCAGGGTGCTTGGTACTGAGAGCAGCTTTTACTCAATTGTGACATAAGCCCTGGCCAGTGTGGCTCAGAGGACAGAGCACCGGTCCAGGGACTGAAAGGTCCCGGGTTCGATTCCGGCCAAGGGCATGTACCTCAGTTGCAGGCTCGATCAATGCCTCTCTCTCATTTAGATGTTTCTGTCACTACCACTACCTCTCTCTCTTCCTCTCTCTTTTAAAAAAATATATATATATTTTATTGATTTTTTACAAAGAGGGAGAGAGGGATAGAGAGCTAGAAACATCGACGGGAGAGAAACAACCACCAGCTGCCTCCTGCACACTCCCCCCTGGGGATGTGCCTGCAACCAAGGTAGATGTCCTTGCCCAGAATCGAACCCGGGACTCTTCAGTCCGAAGGCCGATGCTCTATCCACTGGGCCACACAGGTTAGGGCTCCCCTCTCTCTTAAAAAGTAAATCAGTGGGAAAATATCTTAGGCTGAGGATGAACAAAAAACAAACACCGAGGCTCGGGATGTGGAAGGCTCCGTGCGGGTCCCTTGCGTGGAGGGAGCGGGAGAGGTGGTGGCTTCTCACCTTTTGGCCGGAGGCTCGAACACGCCGCTGTCAGTGGCCAGGGAGTAGTCCGACAGGCATGCCGAGACGCGGCGCCCTCGCCTCTCCAGCCTCCTGGCGCCGTCTTCCCGAAGCGTCACTGCTACAAAAGAGAGTCAACGGGATGAGGAGGGCACGGGGGGGGGGGGACACACCTTGGTGTCAAAGAACGCACCGAGTGCCAGCCCAGACACGGTCACTGCGTCCTAGACACGCCGTCCCCACGTGCGTGTTTAAAGACGCTGCCAGTTTGTTTTTAAATGAAAAAGCGAAGCCATCGGCTTCTTGCTACTTCTGTGACAGCTCCTTAAACTGTTGTCTCTGTCACCTCCTGAGGGCAGCGGGCATGCGATGGTGCTGGAGCCCCTTGGCATGGCACTGGAGAGACTGCCACACTCAAGGAGGATGTGCACCCCGAACGCGCACAGCGGCTGCCCTGGCCGGCCGGTGCGCATTTTCCACTTCCTCCTCCATGCTGTGGGTGCTTTGCACGTGTTATACAATAAGCAGATGCTAGCGTTTCGTAACCAGAAAACAACATTTGTAAAAAGTACCCAAATCGACCCTAATGAAAGGTAGTGACTTTGGAGTCAGAGGACACTGTAGGATGCGGACTCAGTCTTTGAAAACGTGCCCTTGAACACTGGCCATCATGCTGCAGTGGCCTCCTCCCTCCCAGAAGCCCAGCTCTACGTCCAGGATCGAGGTCCTGGGGTTAGGACACCCATCCTGGGCAGTCTCTTTGGTCTCCTATCTATTTCCACCAGGACCTCGGTATCTTCCCTTCCCCCATTTCCTCAACGGCTTCGTCCTTCCCTCTTAGCACCAAGTGCCTTTCAGCAAAACCAATTAGCCCGGCCGGCATGGCTCAGTGGTTGAGCGTCGACCTATGAACCAGGAGGTCACGGTTCAATTCCCGGTCAGGGCATTGATCCCCAGTGTGGGGCGTGCAGGAGGCAGCTGACCCACGATTCTCTCTCATCACTGATGTCTCTAGTACTCTCTCCCTTCCTCTATGAAATCAACAAAAATATATTATAAAAAGAACAAAAATAAAAATAGGCCCAGCATGTTCCTGCCGCATGGGTGAGCCTGTCCAGGCCCGCTGGGCCTCGCTCTGCCGTGGGGACGCCTCCTGCTAACGGCGCCGACCCTCTGCGTCCATGCTTTTCCGCACCATCTGGCTCTGTACACTGAAAACCCAGGCAGCTGTCCACATCCAGCCCGAGGGAAATGACGGTTCACCTGGGACCATCTCCCTCTTCCACCAAAGCACGGTTCACGTGCCAACCATGGTCAACAGCACACAGAACAGGGGCCCTGGTCCTTGGTCTCAGTCTCACTGCAGGCGGGAGCGCCTTCCAAAGGCTCCCCCGGGCCAGGCCAGAAGCCGGCCCCCTGCTGGGGTGGCTGGAGCCACTGGCTCACACTGGAGATCAGGGTTCCCAGGTCCAGCTCCTGCCGTCACCCCTGCCATCTGGAAGGACACAAAGTCCCCAGCTCTGAATTGCGGATGGAACCCTCTGGTTTAATGCAAGGATCCCAGCAAATGAAAACCGCTATTTCCACTCCCAGCCCTGACCCTCGGCAGGGCTCTGGCATGGCCTCCCGTTCCTTGAGGCAGGGGTGGGGAACCTTTTCCTGCCAAGGGCCACGGGGAGATGTGTAACATCCTTCTCGGGCCCTACAAAATCATCCCCTTCCACATGAGCCTGCTCCGGGTGGTCAGACACTGAATGAGCTCACCCCGAATGCCTTGGAGGGCCAGGCCTAATGATTTCATGGGCCTCGTACGGCCCGAGGGCCGGACGTCCCCACCCCTGCTTTAAGGGAGTAAGCTACGCAATAAGCACTTCCAGGAACGCTATGGCGCAACTCGGACAAGTTTCTCTCTTGTTGCAAGGAGGGTGAAGAAGCAAAGGAAATGAAGGCATTACTCCTCAGTGACCCCAGGCTCAGCCCCTGAACCTGGAGCCACTGGGAGCAGAGCTGGCGGGAGGAAGGGTGGCGAGCAGTTGCCTGGGTGAAAGAGCGCACAGCGGACCCCTCCTGTGGGGCCAGCCCGCTGTCAGCTGCAAGGCAACAGATGCGCAGCGAGATGGGCCATGGGAGCGATGCCCGTGAGGTCAGGGATAAGCAATCTTCCAAACAGCCGTTCTCTAGATCTTACCTTTTCATCCTTACAGACAGACAGACAGACACTGAGACCTAAGGACATCAACACTGCTTGACAAAAAGAAAATGTAATGGAAATGACGCTGTGAGCAAAGCTACCACTTAGCATATTGAAATAACGAAAGCCATTAACCTGGGGAGCCCAGCTGGTGTGGCTCAGTGGTTGAGCATCGACCCATGAACCAGGTCAGGGTTCAATTCCTGGTTAGGGCCAGCCAGGTCATGGGCTCGGTCCTGTGGGAGGCATGCAGGAAGCAGCCAATCAATGATTCTCATCACTGATGTTTCTCTGTTTCTCTCTCTCTCTCTCTCTCTCTCTCTCTCTCTCTCTCTCTCTTTCTCTCTCTCTCTCTCTCATTCTCTTCCTCTCTCTCATTCTTCCTCTCTGAAATCAATTTTAAAAAACAAAAAATGTATAATATATATACATGAATTATATTTTTTAAAAATCTGAGGGAAATATACAGAAGAAAAAAGACTTCAAGCTTTTAGAGAAGTACTTCCTTCCACAACTTTAGTAGGCATGGCTGTCAATGCTGAAACAATAATCATGGCAATTGCTGAACTTCATGAAAGTACCACTTGAGTTGTGCCCCATGGCCACCCCCGAGCACCCTGATACATGGATTCCCTGGATGAAGACGTGCACAGCCTGACCAACAAGGTGAAGGGCAGTCCAAAGTCACTTACAGTGAGCGCTTCTGGCGAGTCGCATGAGAAAAAGAGATAAAAAAAAAAAAGAGCACAAAGTGAACAAACTGCAGAATTGGGGCCAACAACCTTAAAACAGAGTATGGATATAATAAAAGCATCAGAGGACAGATGAGTGAAGTCAAGGGGTCCATGGGTTTAGATTAGCAAACGCCAATAGGAAAGAAAAAATGGAAAGTATTTCAAAATGATGACACATTGGACTTCTGAAAGCCAGGGAAGAGAAAACTGTAGCAAAAATGTGGAAAATGTTACAGATTACAATCTGTTGCGTACTTCTCTGTACCATCTTGTTCCTTCAAACTACTTTGAAACCGAACAGAACATAGTGTATCCTCCGGCTTGCCTTGTGGGTTTGGGCTATTTTGAACATTTCATCTAACTGAAACTTGCTCGAGGTCAAACTGAGACTGTACCTACCGAGCCTGGAGCGGAAAGTCAGAGGGCTTCAGAAATGAAGGGCAGGGGAACAGCACGAGTGCTAAGGTCCTCGCACAGAAGCGACAATGACTCTGGGATCGGGCATGTTCACAACCCCAAAGGGAAGCAAGGAGTCACCCCGTGTCCTTGCCTGAAGCTGGTTACCCAGCCCAGGCCTCTGGGGGCACTGGCTCATTTCTAGTTTGTAAGGATCTGTCAGTTGAGTGTCATGCAAGAATACACCACCAGATGGCAGTATCTGACCTCAGCATGTGCAAGAACCTTTGAGTCTAAGCTTGAAGCCTTGTAAGGTAAGCCACAAAGGGGAAAGGAAGAACTAAGAAATCAGAAATCAAGTCAGCTCTTCTCTTTCCTGCCCTGGCGTTCCCCTGACCCAGAAGGGCCCCTGGGCACTGTGCGGGTCCCTGCAGAATGAGACTGATACTGTCGGAGCTCGGCCTTTAAAGAGGAGCTGGTGTGGGGCAGGGGCACTGAGAAAGCAAGCTTCAGCAGCAACAGATGTGCCCGTCAGTCCTTGTTGTGAATTTTCTTTTGGAAATGAAAGGAGTACACACGGGGCCCGGAACCTGTGCTTATAAAGAACAAAGCGAATGGGACCACCTGTTTATGTGAATGACAGAAACTGCATCTGGGGACAGGAGAGGTGTGTTTGCAAACACAGAGGGGAAGGCAAAATGATAGATGCCAAAATGCCTCAGAACAGGATAGGTCGCTGGTTAAGCAGGTAAGAGTTAACAGAGGCTGGTATTTTATACTAGAGGCCCGGTGCACAGATTCGTGCACATGAAAAGGAAATCAATTAGAAGGTGACTAGCAGGGCAGGGCTGGGCGAGAAGGGGCAGACACACCATGGAGTCAGTTTCCCATGGTCCCTCCCCGGCTGGCCGCACCTGGGGTGGTGCTGGGGCTGGAAGGGCATCTGCAGAGTGAGTGGGGTCCCTCTGGCAGGTGGAGTCCCTCGGTCTGGCCTTCAGGGATTGGGTCGAAACCAGCAGTCCCACATCCCCCGAGGGATCCCGGGCTGTCGCTCAGCAGCTCCTGCGTTGAATGTCTGCCCCCTGGTGGTCAGTACACATCATAGTTACCAGCCAGTTGGCAGGTCAGCTGGTTGCTTGGGCTTTTATATATATAGGTGTATATAAAGTAACCAGCATGGTCATGTGCAAAAAAACTCCTAGGTAGAATGGTGGTGAACGGAAGAGCCCATAAGATCACCTCATTCAAAGGCGGGGAAACTACGGGGAAACTAAGACTCAGCCTCGTCCAGGAATGTGCTCAAAGTCACCCACCTGGCAAGTCCACAAGGCAGGGCTCAGAAGCTAGGGTCTCTGAGCTGCCAGTCCGAGGCTGTTCCCACGACACAGCCTGGTTCGTTTTTCACATTTGACTTCCACCCTTTGCTGCTGAACTACTCATCAGTATTGTGGTTGGGACTTCTTGGCCTCAGCACTGGCCGTCTGGGCTGGATCACTCTCTCTCCATGGGGGGCCGGGGGGGGGGGAGCGCCTTGCACCGCCGTGCTGAGCAGCATCCCGCCCACTGGCTGCCAGCAGCATCTCCTGCCAGAAGCTGAATTACCAGCAATTGGACGGCTGAAGCTCCCTGTGGCTACGTTTCTCGGTTTGAATTCCACCAGAGAAATGGATCTGGTGGAAATGACATGCTCACCGGCACAGCTTTTGAAATTATGCCAGTTATTTTCACTCCCACTCTCGACAGAACTGCAGCCTGGAAGACTAACTACAAGGACGCAGGAGGAGGAGGTGAAGTCATAAAGACAAGGGGAGTAGACATTTCCCTGAGGCGGCACTCAGGCATTGTCCCACCTGGACCCGCCCCGGAAGGCTGGCTGGGCCCCGGCACCTATCTGCCTCTGAATGTGGGAGACTGGGTGGCTCTTCACGATTCAGCACATCCTGACAACAAGGCGAACACCTGGGCAAGACTCCTTCGCCGATGTCCATGGCCTTGCCAGGACAGAGCGGGAAGCCCCACGTGACAGCGGCCTGCGCCCCTCCGCGTCCTCTCCATGGTCCTGAGCTTAAAGCTGGCTGTCCTCGTGCCTTTACCCAGGATTCCTTCCCTGGGTCAGAAGCCTTCCTCCCAGGGCTGGGGAAACCCACGGGGCTTGTCCATACTTACGTGTGCCAGTGGCGATGGCTGCCACTTGGGATCCTCGCTCGCGAGGTCCTTCCCCATCCCCAGGGAATGCATTCGGTGGCAGGGCCGCTGCGCCCTGCAAGTCTTCCTCTCCCAGAGCCACGGCCTGGGCCCGTAGTCTGTCTAGGGTGCCCAGGCCTGGCACTTCCAAACTGTCCCCTAGTGGGGCCAAGGGGGAGTCCCGAGAGGGTGGGAGGAAGGGCGTGTCTAGGGGGGAGCTCGGGGGAGACAGGGAGGACAGGGAGGAGCGGGAGGACAGGGACGCCAGGGACTGGGGCGTGTCCAGGGAGCGCCTCTGCTTTTGGAAGCCCGGGGGAACCTGGGGCTCGGAGAAGGGGGTGTCCCGTCCCAGTGAGTCGAAGGGGATCAGATCAAAGCGCAGAAGCTGGCTGCACTCGGCGGCGTCCGGCTTGTCGTACTGAGGCAGGCCGTAGATGTCGGTGAAGCTGATGGAGCTCAAGGAGCCCCGGCTGGAGGCCAGCGAGCCCCGGCTGGAGGCCAGGGACCCCCGGCTGCTCCCGGAAGACACCGTCAGGGTGCTGGCGGACAGGCTGAAACGAGAGCGCCTGCACCCTTAGGGAAGTCTGCTCCCGAGAGAACAGGGCCTGCCTTGTTCTGCCGTGGACCACAGCGTGACTTTTAACACCTGCACACAGCCCGGGGTGGGGGAGGTGGGGAGGGAGACCCTGTGGGGATATGCTCTGTCTCCTCGGGGGGTGGCGGGAGGGTAGCTAGCATCAGGCGTCAAGCCTGGGTTCGGGCTAGCAGAGTCCACATGGCCAGCTCACTGCCTTTCCGGCTTTCCGCTCTCTCCTGGGGCTGTGACGGAACAGTTCCTACCTCCTGGCATTCTCTCGAGGAATAACAGAAAAGCACACACAGAAAGCCTTACCATCGCCTCCCCAACGTAGCGAGGACTTGGAAACCAGACCTATGCTTGAGCTTCCAGGTCATATTTTAAATACCCATAACCAAAAAAATAACCATAACCATTAAAAAAAAAAAAAAAAGCTAAAATAACAAGGGCCGTGTGCATGTTTGTAAGATGGACATACACAACCCAAAAGCTGGGAATTACAAAACCCTTGGAGATACTCGACTTCAGATTTGTTATTCTGCAGCCAAGTTCGGTCCTATGCCTTGAATCATGTATTAGCAGCTCCTCTTAAAAATACAGTGTACCCACTTTTCCGTCTGTGTTTACACCCTTTCTGGTTTTAAGTTCTGGAGGAGAAAACCAAGCTGAAGGGAACTGTGACGTTCACGGACATGTCATAACATGGCATTCATAACATGGCAGTGAAGGATAGCTTTCTCTTTCAAAGGTGCCCGCCTTCAACATGCTAATGAAGTGTAGCTTCCGCTTTTAAAAGGCACCTACCTTTTTAACTTGCTAATGAAGTGCAGCTTTCTCTGTTCAAGGCGCCTACCTTTTTAACTGGGACTGCAGATAGGATGCTAAGCGAGTAGCTTCTTCCAGCTGCATGAGCAGGCAATTTCTTTTCTCCTGAAGGAGAATCCTGTAGGTAAGAGGACAGCCCATTGGTGGATTTCAAAGACAGCGAGTATACATTTTCCTCACGGGAAATCCAACTATAAATTCCCCGCAGTGATTTCACTTCGAATGGCTCAATTCTTTCAACACGTCTAAGTCATAGATGCCCAAGTACGGAGACGGCTCCTGTCTGGCTAGAAAATTCGCAGCCGGCGCTCTGACCAGTGCCGGATGCCCTGCAGAAGCTCCATAGCTGGTGGGCGGTGGACAGAGAGGAGGCACACATGCCCTCCACCTTCCCTGCTTGGGGAGGAGGCGGTCCTGGCAGTAGCTGCCCCAACCAGGAGCCTGGCTATGCGAGCTGGTTCTTTACTGGCACCGGGCCTGCGCCCACGGTGAGGCCAGCCCACCTCTCGGTGGCGCCCTGCACGGAGGTGGCCCGCGCGCGCTGGATCTCCTCCTCCAAGCGCCGCCGCTCCTCCTCCAGGCGGGCCGCTTCCTCCGCCGGCCGGCTCTGCTGCACGATGACCTGCAGCTCCTGCAACAGCGCCTCCTTCTCCTTGATGAGCTGCAGCCGGTCGCGGTCGGCCTCGGCCATGCCGGGCCACGACTCGTTCTCGAGCTGCGCCAGCTGCTGCTGGATATTTGAGACTCTGCAAGAAACGGAAACGGAGAAATCCGCGAACTTACGAACTGTCTTCACACGTTGTCGGCACCAGGCCCTGATGTGAAAAACTCACTCTGCTAAGTAAACACTGGCCGGTCGCACGGAGTGACCCTGAGTCACAGGAATGAGGAATCTGGGAGCGATGTGTAGGACACTGACGTGGGGTCCTTGGCATCGTCTCCCTGCTCTGGCACCTCGGCTCGTGTCAAAGAACTGACAGGAGGCTGCAGTGCTCCCCACACCCCTGTGCTCTGTGGTTTCGGACTCGTGGTTTCCTGCGTGGCCCCGTCCCAGATCAGGAGGAGCTGGCTCTTCCCCGCCACCCCCCCCATCGCCACCCGCTGAGACCACTGGACACAGGGGCGGGCCTTCCAGCTCCTGCCTGTGCAGCAGTGCCTAATGCCCACACCAGCCTTCAGAAAGCACAGGATTCGTGTGCCCATCACAATTCGTGTGCAATCTGCATTGGAACAAGCCCTCCGGGTGCCTGCGATGCCCGCTTACGTTTGGCACCCTCCGCTTTCTGGCGGCCTGGCTGGTCCGGAGGGTGTTCGCTGACCTTGGTGCTCGCAGGGGCCTGCGTTCCACACCGATGTGACCATCCTCACCAAAATGGGAATGGGGCATGCTCCTGAGACTCCCAGCTCCCGTGCCCAGGGCCTGTGTCACTATTCAAAGCTGGCATCCTGGCTGCTGGATGCAGACTTCAGGATCCTTCTCAACCCTGTGCTCCCTTCAGGTACCGCCCATCGACGTGCTGGCCAGCCTTGCACCAAGCAGGGCTCTTCCTGAACTAGACATATTCCATTTGAGTCAGCTCCAGGTCAGCGGCCATGCTTAAGGATTCCCATTGCTGAGAGTGGCAGAAGCAAGCCTAGATAATCCTACTCTTTCCCAGAAAACTTCAAGGAACACCACCATCAGAAAAGAGAATAAGGCCAAAACCGGTTTGGCTCAATGGATAGAGCGTCAGCTTGGGGACTGAAGGGTCCCGGGTTCGATTCCGGTCAAGGGCATGTGCCTTGGTTGCGGGCATATCCCCAGTGGGGGGTGTGCAAGAGGCAGCTGATCGATGACTCTCTCTCATCGATGTTTCTAACTCTCTATCTCTCTCCCTTCTCTCTGTACAAAATCAATAATATATATATATATATATATATATATATATATATATATATATATATATATATATATATGAGAGAATGAGGCAGGAAAGGGGAATTATATGAGGGAGGAGAGGCAAAGGGCAAATCTCAAAAGGTCTGCCCACTGTGGGCGACGCACAAGTAGCACGGCCCCGTAAGCTTGCACAGCTGGCGAGAAAGACACGCAGAGACACACGCTGAGGGACGACCCGGGAGCAGAAACAGAATCTGGACGGCGCTGACTTCCTGCAGCACATCTGGAAAAGCTGTCTGGGCTGTGGCGAACACCAGGCCAGCATGTCTGCGCTGAAGAATCGTGCTTTGCGAAAACGAGTTCCATCTCACGACGATGCGAATGACTGCGTGTCCAGCGCAGAGCCGTGCGGGAGGCTAGCAGAATACTAGCCTGCATCTGCTGCATCTCTCTCCCCGCATCCACGCTCTGGACGCAGCCGCTGGGACCTGCTCTCAGCCAGGTCAGGAGGCACATGTGTCTGTCTGTCCGCCCTGGAAGCTAAGAGCTCTAGAAGGATTCCTTCGATGATCCTTGTACGCTCGCCAAGAGCCGGACAATACGGCTTTGCCCTACAAACAATCCGCCTTGTCTACCGCGCTGCTGGCCTGGAGGCGGGCCGCCCCGGGAGCAGTGAGGGTGGCAGGGGGACTGGAGGAGAAAGACCTGCCCGGTGCCGAGCGCGGCTGCGCAGCCCCGATGGCCCTGCCCAGCAGCCAGGCAGCTGGCCCGGGTCGGAACCCTCCTGCGAGCGCAGCAGCCAGTTCTGGGTAATGCAGCACAGACTTTCCAGAAAGCCTCTCTTCTGAAAACCGCTTCAGTGAAATTAAATACATGGAGGCAAAGTGAGGTCATGATGAACGTTTACAAAAAGGAAACTTCTCCAAGTTCGTTTTTAAAGAGAACCGAGAGCAGCTTAACATTGGCGAGGGTTTTTTTTCTCCCTGTAAGTCAACTGTGTCCTTTACGGATACCCGCTTTGGACAGGTGATACAGCCTATGGCTATGCATCGCCTCTCACAGGGCCTCCAAAACTTTAAATCCGGTCCCTATGCTCATGGCAGAGGAGAGGGGAGGCAATCCTCAGTCAAGCATCCGTTTCTTATTGGTTATGCGGCTCCAGGTTCATGATCAGGTCTAACGTGGACACAAGTGAAATAGGACTCACTTTTCCTTTCCTAATTTCGGTCCGAGTGCCTTTTCGGTTACCCCCGGCACCAGGAAACCATGACTGGAAACAGCATTTAGGCCGCAGATGCTACTCAGACCCTCACCATTCACAGGACAATCTTAAATGGGATTTGCATTTCTCCTAGAAAAAAAAATGCACTTTCTGTATTGCACAGCTGGGAGGCACCCTAACATGTCCAGAGTAACCTCCCACATCTGGCGCTCCTGAGCACACTGCTGCTTTTAGAGAGAAGCAGCGGTCCAGGCAGGCCTCGGTCCCACACGATCGTGATGTGACATGACGGAGCACCATCAGCCTGGCCTTGGCCATCAGATGTCAATCACAGCCACGGACCTGAGGCTCCTTAAGTTCACCCTCCTCCGTTTCCTTTTGGTAAATAGCCATTTAAATGAAAAGCAAGTGTTCCAGAAGATCTCACCTGAGATCTAAATGAACGATGAGAATACTTGAGCCGATGGAACTAAGTATCAACAAGGCAGCTCCTCTCTGCTCAACTCTCTAGTCTACACTGGGAAGTCCAGAGCCTGATCTAGAATGTGCGGTAAGGATAGCCCAGCATGCTCCCTGCCCTCTCGTCTTTGCCGTTTGATTGACAGATCCTCAGAGCCACGTCTTTAAAGGGAAAGCAGGCCTCCTTCTCGGCCTGAATGGAGAGGAGGGAGCTACAGCGTGAGGGATGCCTGCCTTTGTTTCTCACAGCCAAGCCCCACCCCCCAAACCCAGAGACACAGTCACTTGAGAAATGAAGAAAAATCCCAGCGACTGATCCAATTCCCCTGGAATCCTAACACCACACTCACTCCTGACAACGGACGAACAGCAGGAACCATCCTGGCAACAGGCACTAAGACAGCGAAGCTGGATGGGCCGAATGTTTTGTTCCTATCGGGACTGCGCGCGTTTCTATGGCAACAGCTACAGTTTGTGCACAGTTCTGGAACAAGTGCTCTTAGGTTAAAAATAAGGAGCCATCTGCGTCATCCGCATTGCTTCCAGAGAACCTGCTCTTCCAAGCTGGCCTCGACAAATTCCAACATTTCTACCCAATAAATTTTAACCAATATCCCTATAATAAGGCCCAAGGCAGCGCTCCTGAAGGGGAAGGAAGAGGCACTTATTTAGACACATCTCACGTGACCGGAGTTGAAAACACAAAACTAGTCATGACAGGGGTGGTTTGGTCTGGAGAAGTCTCTAGAAATAATACTACCATTTGCAATTATGAGTTCCACTTCCACTAACATCCTTTCAATTCAAATACATACGAAACCCCTTGTCCACAACGCCATAAATTAAAAAAAAAATTTTTTTTATTGATTTCAGAGAGGAAGGGAGAGGGAGAGAGAGAAACATCAATGATGAGAAAAAATCATGGATCTGCTGCCTCCTACACACCCCCTATTGGGGGTCAAGCCCACAATTCAGGCATGTGCCCTTGATTGGAATCAAACCTGAGACCCTTCAGTCTGCAGACTGATGCTCTATCCACTGAGCCAAACCGGCTAGGGCTGGTGACATCTTTTCAAACTTTCAATATGCATGTCTCTAGACCCAGACATCATCGCAAGGCTGGCCTGTTAACAGATGGCTGTGCTTGTGAAAGGGGAAAACGGCAACCATTGAGCTGTCTGTCAGGGAGGGTGCTTATAACGCCGCAGAGGCTATGCGGCACGCTCCCTACAACGCCTTAGCTCATTCCAATGTCTGCGTGGAAGCCCGCAAGGCCCGCACCAGCCACCAACAGGGAAAGGCGGGTGCAACAGGCGCAAGGGGTGTGTCTCTGTTGATGGTGCCTTTGACAAAAGCAGTGTATGCATGTACGATGTATGTGATAAAAATAAGAAAAATGCACGTGCATATGTGCATGTATACGTAAACACGAATGTGCTGTGTGTGTTCAAGCATGCACATACACCCTGGGGTGTGTACGTGCATGTGTTTGTGTGCACACTCACCCATCCACAACCAGGGTATCCCTGCTCCGTATTTCCATTAGTTGTGAAGGAGTTTAACAGGTTAAAGGCCTCACGTGATCGCACCACACAAGAACACATTTCTCCAAAACACCGGGAGCAGGCAGGTGCTGAGTGGAAGTACGATCTCCCAGGTTCCCAGCAGTGTCTCTGTGGGGGGGAGCTACGGGGGTCACGCACACAGGCCAGCTGCAGGAAATCACATAGGGGTGGCCCCGCTAAGATGCGCAATCCTGCAGCACAGAGCAGGGGTGGGGCGTCCTGTGCAGCGCGGGGCGGGGAACAGCATCCCTGGTGGCTGCGCACCGCAGCCAAGATGTACCGCCCCCGTGCTCCGCACCCCTGCTTGTCAGATGCTGCCAGTGCGGCCCCGAAAGGCCTTTCTGAGCAGCCCCTGCTGCCCACAAAGGTGGGAAGGGGGACAAGCCCGGCCGGTGCGGCTCAGTGGCTGAGCACTGACCTAGGAACCAGGAGGTCACGGTTCAATTCCTGCTCAGGGCACAGCCCCGGGTTGAGGGCTCCATCCCCAGTAGGGGGCGTGCAGGGGGCAGCCATGATTCTCTCTCATGGATGTTTCTCTCTCTCCCCCTCTCCTTCCCCTCTGAAATCAATAAAATATACATTTTAGAGAAAAGACAGCTGGGACAGGAGCCGGCTCCCGGGCAGCGCCTTTGGCCAGGTGCCTGCGATTCCGAAGCCCTGCTCTTGGCGGAGGAAGAGCAGCGTCCTCCCGAGTTCTTTTCCCAAAACGCTCAGCTTTTTACCCAAAGCGCTGTCTCCGCCTGCCATCTCTGGCAAACAAAGATGCCACTTGCTGTTTGGTAAATGTCACAGCAAAACACGTAACAATCATGCTCCTGAGTGCAGCAGCACCATGTTTCTGCGTCTGGACAGCACAGCACATTCCGCACCCACATGCGGCTCCAGCGGGACGGGGGCAGCATGCGGGCGCTCGGAGGGCCGGTCCCCAGGCCAAGCTCGGAGGAGGGCCGAGCCGCCACGGGCAATCGGAGCGCCCAGGTCGGCCCGCGGCTGCCCCGGCTTGGCCACGCTCCACGCAGGAAGGGGGAGCCCCCCACCAACACCTCGGGGAGCGCCCGGAAGACGGAGAGCGCGGGCGAGCGCCGGGGCGGTGAACAAAGGCCCGTGTCAGCCCAGCCGGCCTCCAGCGGGGTCAGATGATCCGCTTTTGTTGCTATTTTTGCATTTTGTAAAAAGGCAACAAAGCGCGTTTGCAGACATCATGAATGATACAGTATACGGAGCAGGCCCAACCCCAAGGCCGAGCTTCCGGAGGGGACCTGCACCCCACGGGCACGCCGCTCCTCTCCCGCCCCCCAAGATAACGGTTCTTCTGCAACAAAAGGAAACTTGACAAAGATACGCTTTAGAGCTTTTCCGAAGCACATGTTTCGAAAATATTTGGTTTTAAGACTTCAGAATGAAGAGAGCGAGAGATTCTAAAACGAGGACATGCCAGCTAGGGCAGGGTCAGCATTGGAAGCAGGGACCCTGCAGGGGTGTGGTGACACCCTACCTCTCCCTTCTGCCCGTGCCCCCGCCCCCAGGGTGAAGGCTGGGAGGAAAGACGACCTTGGAAATTCACTAACAAGGTCAAGCCTCAATGTGCAGGAGCAGGTGTTACGACGCAGGTGAACAGCAACGCCTGCGTCCCTTCTCTCCGTCCCATTGAGCTGGGCGGGTCCTGCTAGCACCTGGGGACCTGATCCTTACAGAGCCGCCTTTCAGCCCCCAATGTGCGACTGCTCCCGTTAACCTACAGCAGTGGTCGGCAAACTCATTCGTCACCAGAGCCAAATATCAACAGGACAACGATGGAAATGTCTCTGGAGAGCCACATTTTTTAAACGTAAACTTCTTGTAACGCCACTCCTTCAACATAGACTCGCCCAGGCCGCGGTATTTTGTGGAAGAGCCACACTCAAGGGGCCAAAGAGCCGCATGTGGCTCTCGAGCCGCGCTTTGCCGACCAGTGACCTGTAGGGTCAGAAGCCACATATGAAGAGATAACAGCATTCTGCTTAACCTGGCTGCGGGGCGGCTGCTCCGGTGAAAGGGGGGAGGAGGGAAAGGAAGGGGGAGGGGAGAGAGGGTGGGAGGGAGGTGGAAAGGTCTGAACCACCCAAGAGGACCTGAAAGAGTCTGTATTTTTATTAAAGCATATCTTCGTACCTATTGGCAAGGTTGAGAATTTCACCATTTTAAACGCACGTGAACTCTGGTCTACGTATTCAGAAGCCACACAGAAATGAAGATATTTCACTCCGTCAGCCTCTGCTTTGAGGTAAGCGGGCGGTCCCCATGGGCATGCTTCTGGGGGGAAGGGGGCAGCGGGAGGGGTGAGCAGAGGGCCTACCTCTTCCTGGCCTCCTCGTACTGCCAGTTCAGCCGCACGCGGTCCACAAGTCTGGTTTTATCGTCGAAGACAAACTGCCAGGGGTGGGGGAGGGAGAGGGAAGCATATTAGAGACATGTTTTTAAAATAGACAATTCATTTCAACTTTCAACGACAAAGGCTATCTTGATTCATCTTTCAGTTCCCATTTCCCAAAGGCCTGGAAGGAAATACCCCGAACCCCGGCCAGCAGCCACCGCGCACAGGAGCTGGGAGAAGGAGGGGGAGGGGGCTGGGAGACTCGCTTTCCCAACGCTGGTGACCGTCTTTTGAACAATGAAAGCGTATTCAACTGTTGTGGGATTCTAAACAGCAGCTTGGTTTTAAAAGAAATACGGGCCGGGGCCGGTGTGGCTCAGTGGATAGAGCGTCGGCCTGCGGACTGAAGGGTCCCGGGTTCGATTCCGGTCAAGGGCATGTACCTTGGTTGCGGGCACATCCCCAGTGGGGGGTGTGCAAGAGGCAGCTGGTCCATGTTTCTCTCTCATCGACATTTCTAACTCTCTGTCCCTCTCAATTCCTCTCTGTGTAAAATCAATAAAATATATTAAAAAAGAAAAGAAAAGAAAAGAAATACGGACGACTTAATAAAAACTGATACAAAGGCAAAACATTCAGCTCATTTGGGGCAGTATATTCTCTCTTTTACTTATTTCTTTTATTTGGATTCTTTATTGTTTAACATACTGCGTATGTCTCCTTCTCCCATTATTCTCTCGTTTCGTAACAAACACGAATGATGTTCTCCTAGGAGGTCACCAGAGCTAAGATGACAGACAGCTGTGTGGCGCAGGGACCAGAACCGGATGTTCCATAGCCGAGACTGCGCGCCGCCTTCGGAGTCAGACCTGAAATGCTAAGCTCTGCCGACCACGGGCTGCGCCTAAGGATCCCCCACGGATCGCACTGAAGGAGCAAAGCCCTGAGCGGAAGGGAAGAGCGACTGGTGGGGAGGTGCCTAGCTGCTTGGTGACGTCTCCTTTGTCCCAGAAACACACGACTTGGTTTCAATAAATCTCCTCCATCTGCAGACCTGACCTACTAGACCATAGAGCGGTGGTTCTCCACCTTCCCAATGCCCCGGTCCTTTAATCCAGCTCGTCATGTTGTGGTGACCCCAACCATAACATTACTTTTGTTGCTACTTCATAACTGTCATGTTGCTACTGTTATGAATCGACCCACAGGTTGAGAACCGCTAGCAGGGTCGCCTAAGACCATCGGAAAACACAGAGGTTTACATCACGATTCATAACAGTAGCAACATGACAGTTATGAAGTAGCAAGGAAAATAATTTTAGGAGCTGTGTGAAAGGGCCGAGGCATTAGGAAGGTTGAAAACCACTGCCATATAGTATGGCCATTACGGTTTTTCTTTAATAACCTCATGTCAACAAATACTTGAAAGTATTCTACTTGAGTGATTAGTGATGAAGGGATCGATACACATCATGTAAGTGCAGTTCAAACCTGCGTTGTTCAAGGGCAAACTGCACTTTTCTGTAACAACACGAGGTAGCGGAAAGCACAGGCGTTAGCGATCAGAGATGTTGATTCAAACTCATGCCCGCCTCTCCCTGGCTGCATGGCCTTGGATAACCTGGCACCTTGATCTCCTCTCCCGTCCGTCACAGGGGAGGGAAGCAACCACTTACATGGAGATAAGGCCCAGGAAGCTGCCAAGCCAGGCAGCCAGTCATTGCCTCAGTGGCCACCAGCCACCCCCTCAGTGGCAGCCAGGCACCCCCTCAGTGGCCACCAGGCACCCCCTCAGTGGCAGCCAGGCACCCCCTCAGTGGCCGCCAGGCACCCCCTCAGTGGCCGCCAGGCACCCCCTAGTGGCAGCCAGGCACCCCCTCAGTGGCCGCCAGTCACCGCCTCAGTGGCCGCACCGGGTCAGCGCAGCAGCATGGCCAGCCTCTCCCGACCCCTGAGCGCCACCAGAGAGCCTTCCACCTGCCCCGCTTCCCCCAGCCCAGCTCAGAGCCTCTCCTAATTCCGACCTCACGATAAGCAGCACCGAACTATTCCCGGAATCCGGAGCCTTGCACTTCTTTCCCTCCCTCCTGCCAAAATCTTTAGGCAAAACATGCCAGACATTTCTGACCTACAGAGTCTTCTCCTGGCGACCATATTCCTTAAGCCAAAGGGGCCCCCGGCCTCCAACATCTGGTCCTACTTTTGAGAATAATCAAACAGGGCCATTCCAGGACAGCCGAGGCAAAGGAGTCATCATTACTGACAGGCAGTCCCTCAAAGAAGCGCCACCTGCTACAATTTCAAATCATTCGCCAATCATTTAAAACCCAGAGGTTTTTGCCAATGGCTCTTCCCTTTATTTTTTCTCTTTTTATTTCATATGGAGGGGGCAATCTGTATTCTGTTGATATTTCATCTTCAAGCCCAAAGGAACAAACTGTTTATCCATTTGTACCAAATGGCACACTTTACCCATGACGTTCCAGCAGCACTGTCTTAAGTATTGGCTTCCAATGTGACTGCCAACTTGTTTGTGCGGCCAACTCAAGGTTTCACTAATCATCAAAAGGGGGGGTTATGAAATTCTTTCAAGTCCCAAACAAAATAAATTTTAATTCAACTTCATTTCCTGACATTCTTTCAGAATAGAAAAGAGCACCAAAATATAACCCAAGGTGACACAGCCGCAAAGTCTTTGAGATTCACTGGTCTAAGCCAGAGATCAGCAAATGAAGGCCCAAAGGCCCAATGCGGCCCGCCACCTGTTTGGGTAAATAAAGTTTTATTGGAACACAGCCCCTCCCATTAGTTCACATATTACCTATGGATGTTTTTGCTTAACACCACCACAGAGTAGGTGTGGTGGAGACCACATGGCCTGCAAGACCTCAAATATTTCCTATCTTGACCTTTATACAGAAAAGGTTAGCTGATCCCTACTCTAAGAAGTCACGTGTCTGTCAAAGAGACATCTAAACTCAACTCGCAAAAGGATTCTGCCATTTTTAAGAATCCGATTCCCAAAGATAGAGGTAGTAAGCAATGTCACTGCATCCCAGGCCACGGAACCTTCCCAGCTGGATGTGAGAAGCATTTTCTCTTCAAATCGAATGGCACAAAGCCAGAGAACCTCTGAGGAGGAAGGGGGAAAGGAACACCAATGGGAGCTGACCACACAAAAGCCGCCCTTCCTGCTCCATACTTCCGGGGACTTACCTCCCCAATGATGTCGGTCTGAGACCCGGCGTCGCAGAACTGGTGGGAGTTGCCCAGTGCGCCGGGGTGGTGAGGGGCCTCGTGCAGCGGATCGGCCAGAGAAAAGTTGTTCCTGAAGCCGTCCGTGAGCTTGGCCAGGCTCTGCAACAGAGGGAACGGGCCGCTTAAACAGATGGGTGCGCCTCTCCCTCTGAGAGCAGGCATCTCCCTCCGGGTCCAGCAGCGGCTCCCTGCCGGCGGGCTGACCACCCACCCCATTCCCATCGGCTTTCAAAGAAACGTCCAGCACGTGCACCTTCAATACGACTCTCAGTGACTGAGTCACACAGCACTCGAGTCTTCTGGTAGCGCGTGAATGATACAGAGAACCACTGGGGGACCATTTTCACTGTTTTTCGAAACTGTGTTTCCTTAAAGAAAAAAAAAATTCCCTCCCAAATGCTTAGAGTCATAGAACTAGAAAGCAGAATGGAGGCTGCCAGGGGGTGGGGGGAGGGGAAATGGGGAGATGTCCGTCAAAGAGGACAAACTTCTAGTTCTAACATGCGCAGTGTACAGCAAGGGGACTCAGTACACAAAACTGTGCTGTATGCCTGGATGTGGCTAAGAGAACAGACCTTAAATGCCCTCACCACACACACATGCACACACACACACACACACACACACACACACTCACACACACACACACACACAGCTCACTCTGTGAGGTGGAGGAGGTGTAACTTTATGGCGGTAATCACGCCACAATGTGTATGTGTAGCAAACCTGCACACCTTCAATTCAGACAATTTGGTTTGCGAACTATACGTCAGTGAAGTGGGGGGAGGGTTCGCACCCCCCATGGCCTAGCAGGAAAGGAGTCTCACATGGCTGCTACCTTGAGGTCTTCATAAGCCACACGGCTCCCAGGTGACATTTACGCCTTTTTGTAACCTGCCTTTTCAATCCTACTTCTGCGTGGTCAAAGGCCACCTCACACATCCGCTAGTTTGCCAAAGCTCAGAGGAAGCATGCGTTCTGGCAGACAGAGCCCTTTGGGTGAACGTCCTAGAGAAATCAGACTTTCTACAATTTTTTAAAAGATGCTTTCTGCGGACACCAGGTGCCCAGGGGCAGTCTAACGCAGCGAGTGCTGGGTCTAGACTGCAGCGTCCAGCAAGGGACCGACATGGTTAAGCTCGTATGAGAAAGACAAAGCCACTCAGATCCGCGGTCGCCCCCCGGTGGTCCGCAAGGCCCCAAAGGTTGGCGACGGCTGGTTTAAGGACACCTTTGGCGCGGCGCTCACCAGCAGGTGCCTGCCTGTGCGGAGCAGAAAGACCAGCGTGCATCTAGTCGCAAAAAGTCAGCTTTTTCTCAAACAGGAACGACAAGAATTGAAGTTGCAAGGAAACAGCAACATGAAGCTACAACGACCCCAGCCGAACCCCTTGATTTCAGGCTGAGGCCTCTAGATTCTGAGAGAATCGATCTCTTTGGTCCTAAGCTACCTGGTTTGCGGTCCTCTGTGATGGCAGTCTTGGGGAACTGGCATGCACTGTTGTAAATACATATGTGTGCACACACATAAGAGATATACATGCATAAGTGCTACTGGACATACGTGTATGTCTTAGAATATACATGGACTGTGCATGTAATAAGTATGATATTTTAGAAATTCTAAACAAAGACAAGCCCGACGAGGGGGCCAAGGGGCGCACTCCCACCTGCATCAGGTCCCGCCGCTCCTTCTCGCCTGTGCAGATGGCCTTCCTGATGGTGCGGAGCTCGTTCATGATGGCCTGCGCCTCGTCCAGCTTGTAGGTGGTGTGAGTGTTTGACATCTTACGGTCAATCCTAGTGAAAAGGGAAAACTCCTGTCACTCCGTGCGAGGCGGTCCCATTCCATGGAACATAAAAAACTCCAAAGCTTCACAGAGAGGTGGAGAACAGTCCAATGAGTCCCGGCGAAGGAAGAGAGAGACCCTGTGCCAGCCCCGTGGGACAGCCTGCGCGTGGGAGCCTCTAACGGGAAGGCAGCGAGAGCGTCAGCTGAGCACCTGCCTGCGGCTGCCCGCCTCCTCTCTGAGAGGGGGTCTGTCTGCCTCGCTTACCCCAGCGCCTGGTCAGAAGCGCGTCCTAATTCCATCCCGCTGGGCTCTGTGTGCGGGGAGTATGTGGGAAACAGGGAGAGCGGGGAACTGTCATTATGGCCCCTTGTACAAAGCTGAAAGCTCTATGTCTTCCCTGTGTACCTCTTTCTTACTGACATCTTGGTTCTAAGTTATCACTCTCTCTCTTCTACGCAACTCCTGGATTCTTACCTTTAATCCAAACACCCTCCACCCTTCCTTCCTTCCTTCCATGCATTCGCACTTCCTTCCTTCTTCCTTCTCACCCACCTTCCCTTCCCTCTCTCCATCCTTCTTTCCTTCTCATCCATCCATCCATCCATCCATCCTTCTTTCTTTCCTTCCTTCCTCCTCACCCACCTTCCCTTCCCTCTCTCCATCCTTCTTTCCTTCTCATCCATCCATCCATCCATCCTTCTTCCTTTCCTTCCTTCCTTCTCACCCACCTTCCCTTCCCTCTCTCCATCCTTCTTTCCTTCTCACCCATCCATCCATCCATCCATCCTTCTTCCTTTCCTTCCTTCCTTCTCACCCACCTTCCCTTCCCTCTCTCCAACTTTCTTTCCTTCTCACCCATCCATCCATCCATCCATCCATCCATCCATCCTTCTTCCTTCCCTTCCCTCTCTCCATCCTTCTTTCCTTCTCACCCATCCATCCATCCATCCATCCATCCTTCTTCCTTTCCTTCCTTCCTTCTCACCCACCTTCCCTTCCCTCTCTCCATCCTTCTTTCCTTCTCACCCATCCATCCATCCATCCATCCATCCTTCTTCCTTTCCTTCCTTCCTTCTCACCCACCTTCCCTTCCCTCTCTCCATCCTTCTTTCCTTCTCACCCATCCATCCATCCTTCTTCCTTTCCTTCCTTCCTTCCTTCTCACCCACCTTCCCTTCCCTCTCTCCATCCTTCTTTCCTTCTCACCCTTCCTGCCTTCTGGCCACCCTCCCGCCCGAGTGCATGAGGCCGGCGGCATGTCCTCTGTCACGTCCTCCACACCTAAGTCTCGAGCGGTAGGAGCCCCCAGGCGTGGACCTGAAACAGGGTGTGCTCCCCTGGAAGGCCAACGCTGTGCTGCCCCACCACCGCGCAGCTCTGGCTCTGAGTGGTTGCCCCACGTCCATGAAAACCTGGACCCCAACGGCCACCCAGACTCCCTAACATGGCCCTTGGGGAGGAGAAGCGACACTCCGGCTCTCCAGTGGGGCCCTGGGCACCTCGCCTCTGTAACCCTCCGCTTCCTGCGTCTCGCAGACACTACGATGTTTCTCCCTTCGGGAGGAGATGGGAGGAAAGGGCCGCCGGGCCCAGGCCTGGCCGGGCTTGTCTGTGTGGTCATTCCTGCCCTGAGGACGGTGCGGGTCTCCCGCTCCTGGGAGAAGGAGTCAATAATTCACCAGCCCGGTGCTCTATTATCATTAACAAATTCCTGGCCACGTGCGTCACGGCTCAGGCAGAACTCGGCACCGGGCTGAGCCGAGCTGTCAGCGCCCTTGGAATCGGAGAAGGACAAATGGCGCGAGCAGGAAGCGTCCTCCCCCTGGAAGCACTGGGCTCGCAGCAGTGCGGCTGCCATCGGTTACAAATCACCCCGCACCGGGCCTGCTCCAAGGCCTCTCCACGCGGAGCGGATGCAGGCGCACCAGGGGACCCCCCACATTAAATGGTGACACCCCTAAACCCCAGCATGCCCGGCCATGTGTTTTTCCACTTGAGCTATTCCATGGAGAGCCGGAGTCTGAGGCGAGACAGCAGCAAAGGCCATCCATCTCACATCTGCGAGGAAGTGGCCTGACTTTTCGGGGGGGGGGGGGGGGGGACCTAGGCTCATTTACATAATAATGTCTCCTTATATTCATCTTCTGATCAAAGGCTTCCCAATGCGGCTCATTGATGTCACAAACCACAGCCCACAGAGGCTGAGGGAGTCTGGAGAAGGGGGTTACAGCATTTCCAGACAAAAAAGCCCCAAGGCAACGGCCACAGCCCCTGGGAAGTAGGTCTGCCGACCCCTCCACAGCGAAGACAGCAGATGGATGGCCCCGCCACTGACACCCGGACAGAGAAATGAAAACTCAACCGCCTGAAACAAAACTGTTTCAACTGCTGGAAAAATCAACGCCAGTCGCACAGCCTCAGACACCCAGCACGGGGCCGGCCGCAGGGAGACGCTGAGCCGGTCAGCCAGCTGGTACGTGTGTGGTTCCCTCTGGCCTGGGTGGCTGCAGAGCCGTGTGTGGTTCCCTCTGGCCTGGGCGGCTGCAGAGCCGGGCGCAGCCACCAGGAAACCAGGGATGGAGCTGGCAGAGCCCGCGGCACCAGGGTCTCCTCTGCGAGCAGCTGCAGTTCCCATTAGGGAGAGGGGTCACAGGCCTGCCCTTCACCCACCGCCAGACCCGCACGGTGCCTAGAAGTTCAACTTCAAGGCCACAGGCGTGGGCTCTGGCCTTAGCTCTGCCCAAGTGCTCTGAGACCTTGAGGAAGAATGAAGCCTGGCCCCGAGCAGCTGTTTTCAATCAATTCCGAGCGTGTCCCCACGTGGTGAGCAGGAGGAGCTGGAGGGGGAGCTGGAGGGGAGCCTGCGAGGGCCCGGGACCCTCAGCCCTGCTTCAGCAGCACCTCCCCCCTTCCGGGCTCAGCTACTCTGCTGCTACGGAAGGCAATGTCTGGGGGGCAGGAAAGGGAAAGAGAGGCCCCTGTTACAAAGTGGGCGAGCGCCCTAGCTCATTTGGCTCAGTGGCCAGAGCACCGGCCTGTGGACTGAAGGGTCCCATGTTTAATTCCGGTCAGGGCACATGCCTGGGTGGCAGGCTGGATCCCCAGTAGGGGGCGTGCAGGAGGCAGCCGATCCATGATTCCCTCTCATCATTGATGTTTCTGACTCCCTCTCTCTTCTAAAATCAATAAAAATATGTATATTTTTTAAAAGTGGGCGAGCTAGTAGAGAATATGATCTCGATGTTCTAGGAACCTGTAAAATACTGTCATTTCAAAAGAGTTCTATTATTGTAGAACATATCCTTACACAGTAAAAGATTATGTATCATGTAAGTACGTATAACCTTATATAAACAGCATAATAGCACACATTATTTAAATGATATGATTATGGCAATAGTATATGGCCGTGGTCGGCAAACCACAGCTCGCGAGCTACATGCAGCTCTTTGGCCCCTTGAGTGCGGCTCTTCCACAAAATACCACGGCCTGGGCGAGTCTATGTTGAAGAAGTGGCGTTAGAAGAAGTTTCAGTTTAAAAAATGTGGCTCTCCAAAGAAATGTCAATCGTTCTGCTGTTGATAGTTGGTTCTGCTGACTAATGAGTTTGCCGACCACTGGGCTATGGAAAGAAATAGTTCAGTGGATCAAGAATCCGCTAGGTGTTGGGGCCTTGCTGTGGGCTTCCCGGATGTCGCCTCCTTTAACCCCTCCATGGCTTTACAAAGCAAGCATCCCCTCAGATTTCCTAATGAGAAAATGGGGGCTCAGAGAGAGCACCTAAATGGCCCATGATGACATGCTAAGATGTGGCAGAGCCAGGGTTCCAGCCCCCATCTCCCAGCTCTCAAGTCTGCACTGGACGCCCCTCCCCCCGAAGCCACAGGCGGCCCCTACTCGGAGTGGCCCAGGAGGTCCACAGGCTCACGCGTGGGCGAGACATGTTCCACGGAGCTCAGGCCGCCCCATCCCCACCCCCGAGGCTGGGAGAGCGCCCCCCAGGTCTGCGAGGTTCGCTGGGGAATGCTCTCCCTTTTCAATCCTCTAGAACTCTGGTTGAAATCAAATAACGGGCTCAATGATTCAATATTTTCTAAAATAACAATATAGTCCATTCCATAAAGAAAATCATAACATCTGGGACTGCCAAAGAGCTGTCTTTTTCTTTGTAAAATTTTCATTAAGAGTCCAAGACAGTTGCTTATACATGTCAAATAAAATGACAGCCCACTGGGAACTGCTCAACAGAAGGTGGCACTACCCGGCCACCAAGGCTCAGTGATTGAGCATCAACCTATGAGCCAGGAGGTCAGGGTTCGATTCCCAGTCAGGACACAGGCCCGGGTTACAGGCTCCATCCCCAGGAGGGGGCGTGCAGGAGGCAGCCGATCAATGATTCTCTCTCACCATTGGTGTTTCTAGCGCTCTCTGCCTCTCTCTTCCTCTCTGAGATCAATAAAAACAACACACACACACACACACACACACACACATTTAAAAGGTGGCACTAGAGGACATACGTTATTAAGCAGTGTGCGCTGCTCTGAATGTCATGTCCCCCCCCCCCCCCGCCCCAAAATTCACTTTCTGAAATCCCAACACCCAGGGTGAGGTATGAGGGGGGAGGGCCTCTGGGGGTGATCATGAGGGAGACATTCACCTGAAGGGGGTCAGTGTCTTCATAAAAGAGACCCCCGGGAACTCCCCTGTTTTTCCGCCACGTGAGGCCACAGCTGGAAGGCGGGAAGCGGCTCTCACAGGACACAGCACCTGCCCGTGAGGGCGCCCTGATCTTGGACTTGCAGCCTCCGGAAATGAGGGGAAATCAATTCTGTTGGTTATGAGCCCCCCAGTCCGTGGTATTTTGTTATAACAGCCGCCCGAACAGACTAAGATAAAGCGTGGGGGAGGTGGGGGGGCCACAAAAGACAGTAGCCAGAATCCACAGTCTTCCCTTTTCACCTCAGCACTTTGTAGCAGCTTCGGGGAGGTTAAGTGACTTGCTCA